AAAACAATAATGTTTTACCTCAAACACAAAGCTAGACCATGCTCCGGGTCAACTGGCTCTCTGAAATCATTTTTCTACCTCCTAAGATCTGCTCCCAAATCTGCCAGCAAGACCTCAAATTGCTTGACTGACATTCTGAAAACGTATAAAAGTGGTCGTGATACAGCTTCAACATGGATCAAACCATGAAATTCTTCCTGCTGCTGCTTTCCCATGAGAACTGAATGTACCCAGAATCTCACGTTCTTACAGGACCAGCTAATCATGTCTTGATGCCAACTTCACTTTTTTCTTTTCACAGTGTGTTTTTTGAGGCCAAATTTCCTGCAAAAATGCAACACATACAGTGTGCACATACAGTACACGGCAAGTTCGGATGCAGAAAATTTGTAAGTTTGTTTACTTTTTCCATTACGCGTTTGGTATGTGGGGACATTGAAGACCACAAGGGTCAGTTATGAAGAAGAAATAACGAAGTCTGCATGGCAAAGTGAAATTACATAAAAGTTAGGCATAAAAAAACAGAACAAAAAATTCTCTCTCGAAAGTATAAAGTTTGAAAAACTAGGAGTTGGTTCATCCACAAATGGAGAACAGAGGCAGAACAATGAATTACGTCACTGAGAGAGATTTCGTGCCTCTTGCATTTTAATGCTTATATGACCCTGAGGAAAGGCTGCTGGTTATGTTGCAGTGGAGCCACTTTTTGGTGAGCTTCATGTCGAGACAAAACTAACATTCCTTATTAAAGAAACTGCCAGCATGAAACATTAGTCTGTAGCTAATAGTCAGTGCAGAGAAGACTTTCCAGTTATAGGTGAAATGATCTTGTGGTAAAATGTTTTTAGTGACATTCTAAGGCTCGTAGTTTTCTCAAGTCTGCTCCTTACTGCAGACGCTAATTAAGATGGCACATGCTACAGTGTTTTCTTTCTATGGCCTGAGGCTCTCTAATAAAAGGGCCACTTCAAACAGCTAGCGAGCTTCTAATTAAATTCCTCCACAAATTAATGAGACAGTGTTTACGCCTTCATGAGACGATTAGTGATACGACCAGAACTGTGCTCCAATGATACCGATGTTTAGTCCCAAACTGGCTCAGTGAATCCCTTATTGTATTACCTCTCAAGAGCACCTAAATGATATGCAAATAGTAAAAGCTAACGTTCTTCTGTGAGCAAAACATTGAAGGCCACTATAGGGCAATAGACACAAATTGTCTCTCTGTATTTACTGAAGATTTTCTTTCTCATACTACTGGGTGGCTAAAAAATAAAAATGCCCCTGGTCGTGTTTGCTATAACAATATCTGTATGGCTTTAAGAAAACATTTAGTATTTTTAAAGTTTTTGCCTTAAGGTTAAAAAGACCTGTATGTTTACAATGTTAATCATCAATAAATAGAAAATGATGGTTTAGGGAAAATAATGTCTCTTAGATGCTTAAAAAAAAAGTCATGGGTACTAGGGCTGAACGATATATCGCATTTGCGATAATATCGCGACATGATCAAGTGCAATTTTCTAACCGCAAAGGCTGCGATTATACTCTGGACATGTCCAAATTCATGGGCTGCATCCTCCTGAGGCCGCATTTGTAGACCGATTACGTCACAGCGACGCGCCGAAGGCTGTCCAAATTACTACCATATCCCAGAATTCATAGCGCGGCCCAGCCAAACTCCAGTTTCCAGCAATGGCGGCCGCTACTAAGTTTTAAAATTACTCATACTAATCTTTCTGGGTCACAAAATAAACTTTTAACATATTTTCAGGCGAGAAAGTAGTTGTGTAAACATCAAATATCTGCTCGGTTTATCAAGATATCCCATATTTGCAAAAGTGCTTCGACGTTTTCAGAGGCGTCTGCTACCCTCCGGCTAGCTCGACAGCTAGCCGAGAGCTCGAGGATTACTGATGCGGCCAAGAACGGCACAACTCCCGGCACATCATTTTCAGATCACCGCGGAGTTTCGCTGCTCGGGTTAAACGTAATATATAAGTCACTTAGACAACCTAAAAACGTTATTGTTGGGCTTTTTTCAGTGTTTTGTTTGTTCGTGAGTAAATCGGTTTGGCTGAGATTAAAGTTATTAGATTAGATAAAATAAAACTTTATTAATCCCCCGGGTGGGTTCCTCCTTGGTTTTCACACAGCTGACTAAACGTCAAACAGAAAACTTACTAAACAGAAGTATGAGACAGTCGAGAATTTACACCAGTGTCTGGTTATATTTTAGATAGCAAGAAGCAGACGGCCGAGTTTATTAAACTCCACCGAGACAGCGGTGACGCTAATCAGAACTAGACCGTCCAATTTCACGCCTTTAAATTTTAAAGGCGTGTTTGTGTGTGTGTTTATACAATTGCTATTATGTTTGCACTTTATGTGTAATGTTACTGACTGCAGAGATCAGTAAGATGTGTGTATTTTTTATTTATTAGTTTTATTTATTTAATATTATTTTTTAATTGAATGACTGTCTAGTAGTTCACAGATGTCGAAAAACTGAGTGTGGTAAAGCCACTGATTTTTTTTATGTATATTTCTGCAATCTGCACATTGTACTGACTTTCATTTTAATGTTTACACCAGGGTTCCTTGTCAGCACTTTATGCTCAGATGTTTGTAAGCTAAAAATAAACTATTGTGTATGTTCAAATATACTGTTGTGATTGAAGAAGTTAAATAAAAATGTCAGTCATCAATTCATGCATCACCTCATGTCATCATAACAGAGGTCTGTCTTCCAGGAAAGAACAGTTTAAAATTAATGTAATATAGTATTGGCCATACTATATGATGTATTGCTTGTCTTTGTTTAATAATACAGAAGACAAAGACCTTAAAAAATAATCGCATATCGCATCGCAATCGCAATATTGGGGCAAAAAATCGCAATTAGATTATTTTCCATAATCGTTCAGCCCTAAATTGGGTACTGATATAGGACGCTTGGATAAGCAGGTGACCTATATGCTGAAAGCTACTGGAGTGACTGGTTTGAGCCAACCCAAGACCATTTCCTTTGTGGCAATGCCAAACACTCTCTCCCCGTTTTTCTGAAAACTTTCTTTACTATCCCGTCCAGTAAATGCTAAAATGTCAAAAGTATATCTGAAAAATAAGAAGTCTTGCTTCCACAATATTCTTCTGTACAAGTGAAATTAGTTTCTCAATTACCATTGGAGGGAAATGTATTCTCTCGCAGCTTATATTGGAAAGATTATGTTTTGGGTCACTCGGGAACATATCAGTGGTGTTTTGCTCTGATTATATCATTACAGAGGTTATGATTCTGGTGTTTTGTCAACTCTGGAGTTTTAAAACGTGTCTAAATCTGCCCCTCTGCAATGTAATTTAAAGTTGTTTTCCATTTATATGCAGATGATACATGACTGTATTTCTCATTCAAACCCACAGGGAGTGGCAACCGAGTTCCACTCTATATCCCACAGACCTAAAAAATTGAAGGCTGACAAAATAAATTACTGGGCTTTAACACATTTCCAACTAAATAAAGTCCAGTCAGTCAAAATTTTCTCCTTCCTCAGTTTGTTTTGTAATTATTTGTAGTCGAGCTACAGACCCACTACATATTCATCAGCCTCAATAACAAAGTATTTTTCACAGATTACAGCACATCTCATGAATACAGTCTTGAGAGTGTACAGGGCTTTTTATAATACCAACATTGAGTGTAAGTTAATAAACTATATTGCAGGAATAGGACTTAGTTTCTGGTTACGGAATAGAACAATGCATTCTTCCATGTATGTGCATTTTAAGTGGCAACTTTCTAGTCCTTTGAATCACCTCTGGACAAAGGACTAGAAAGTTGCCACCCATTAAGAGCAGTTTTTAAGTTTGTTGTTATTCAATCTTTGCAAAGAAAAATTTTATCGTAGTCTATTTGCAATTAAGGTCTATCAACTTTGCTGGCAGTCCCTCATCTTCAAACTGTTCCATGGGTTTCACTAAAATGTAAATCTTACAAGAAGCCAGGAAAATGCTTGGATATTAAATGTACACGTGTATTTATCAGGGGAAATATCAAGTTTGTCAACATAACAAAGTGTCTGGCTTACAAATTCTAACTATAGCTTTAAAATGTCCCTTCCATGCTTGGAAATGATGCAAAAAGGAGCTGTGTGTCTTTGAGAGATAGGAAGAAAGCAGACACTGACATTAAAGATATACAGTGAATGTTACAGTTCACCCAAACCGGTATTTGCTTTCAGGAAAGGAGAAGTGAAAGCAGAATATTAGGCTACATTTTCTTCACCACTTTGGACCAGACCTGCCACAACTCAGACCTTTCACAGCTTGTTGGGTATCTGACATCCAATCCCATCGGTCTCATTACAGCTCGCAAGGCTGTTGTTGCGACGTGACAGAACGAGAGGAGGTGCCAAGCGGTTCAGGTGTGGGTCGTGGCCAGTATGAGAACTGCATTTGTTCTGGACTTTGGCCTCTCCAGACGCCACATCTCGACTTTAAAAGGTCACACACAGCAAAACAAACGTTGTTGCCAGGACCTCAGTAAAGACATTGATTAAAGTATGGGGTCACGTCTCAACATTTTCTGGATTTTTACACGTAATACTTCTTAAGCAAAAAAATAAATTTAAAAAAATGACAATAGTTTCTATTGAGTACATTTGAACATTTACGCGTAATTTCTAAAATGTTTTTTGTTGCAATCTTTACGAATATATTAATATAGGACAGGACTGTACTGCTGTACACAATAACACGCATTAATGCCTAACACATCCATGCAGTATTTCAACAGGAATAAAACTTAAGTGATAAATATAAGAAAGTGAATATGTATAAACCCTGAGCGTAGTCGTATTTTACGCACGAGGTTCGCGAGGAGAACTTTCTCCTAAAGCACGGTCGTATAGCAACAAAAACAAGTTGCGAACTAACTAAAGCCAGTTTAAAAAAGAACCCGCATGCATATACACATACAAACTTTGTCTTATTCGTCTTACCTTTTCTGCAAGACCCAAAACGGACCAGGCAGGAGAGCAAAACTGCGCACAAAATCCACCACTTGTTGGAGAGAGGCATGCTGCTGAACGGGGGGCAGGTCCGCGCGGAATGTAAAGTTCAGGGGGAAACTTCAACAAGTTGAAGTGCTGTAGCGCGCGCTCACGATTGTGAACGTGTATGGGAGGGTGAGTACTTCCGTTTGATAACACTGAGACCGTAGACACTGCCTACGTCACTGAAACTCCCAATAATTTCCTGGGATATATCGATAGAAGGGAATAAACTCTGACTCATAACACTTACAAAGAATTGAAATGGATTGTATGAAGATGGGAATATTTGATTATGTCTCTTATCATGTTTTTCAACTAAATAATGTTGCATAAATGTAATCATAACAAGAGTAATAAGAGGGTTGGCCAGAAACTTTACAGCGGGAGAAAATCCATCTCTCACACACACGCTCGGGAATCATGAACTTGCATCAAGCCGGTTGCATCTTTGCAGCTCCTCAAGGGCTGCAAAGATGCAACACATATTCATCTCCCTGTGATGAGAAATTTTCATCTGAAGTGCATTACAGAGCCTCAGCTGTCTGCTTCATGCAGAAAATGTGTACCTGAGCCTTTGGAAAGATTCTGAAACACTTCTTTTTCCAGCGCCTCCAGGCCTCTTCTGGTGACACAAGCTGTAATTGAGCTTTGAGTTGGCTCATATAGCCTGAAATTACAGTCTGCAAGCCTCTTTTCCCCACAAATGTTCATAACTTGGATGGATTCATTACACTGCATTAAATACCCCAGTGGATTTATGTACAAAGCACACTTTGTTAAATGCAGGTGGCTGCACTGCTGCCAAGGCTGAGGATTTGAGTCACAGTTGGGGGGTCAACAACAATAAAAAATCAGTGCTTTGACTGTCACATAGAACACTTTGGTGGAGATGTTCTTTATCTGTCAGAGATTAAAGGTGTTTGCCCCGTGCTGTGAACACTTAAGATGCTATGTTGTTTTAGGATCCATCCATTCTCTTCAGCTTATCCTTATCAGGGTTGCAGGGGGGCTGGAGCGTATCCCAGCTACTATAGGGAGAGAGTACAGTACTGTACTGTACACCTAACACAGAGAGACAGGCAACCATTCACACTTATGCCCAATTTAAAATCACCAGTTAACACGTTGACATGTGTCTAGCATGTCTTTGGACTGTGGGAGGAAGCCGGAGTCCTCAGAGAGAACCCACACAAACACAGGGAGAACACACAAACCCCACACAGAAAGGCTCGGGCCAAAAGGAGAGTCGAACTCTGCTGCACACCACATCTCATCTGCTGTAAACTGGAAACATTTCTTTTAAGCTATGGAATATTCTTTTCAGGTTTAAAAATATTTTTTCTGCAGACATTAGTTTGTTTAATGTCTTTTGTTAAAATATTCCCTTTACTCTTCCATCCTTTCACAGGGCATAGCTCAGAGTAGCACAGGAACAGAAATAGCCAAAAACAATAATATTTTTTTTTTTTTAACTAATTCTCAAGTAAAGTGAATAATGTTGTGTTTTTATGTCTTGGTGTTTTCTGGAATGCTATTATGTTTTTCCTTTTTGTTGTTATAGTTTACACCCTCAGGGCCATTATAGATAAGCACAAGGTGTTCTTTGGTATTGGTGCCTTAATGCACCACTCATGGCGATACTGGTTACAGAGAAATGGTCTTCTCTAAAGAGGTGATAAAATCCACATTAGGGTTGACAGAGAGGTGACAGCAGAGTGTATTTGTCAGCCAGGAGATTACACTTTGTGTCCTGTTTATGAGTTTTATGTTTGCTTTTTTATTTTGCTTTGTTGTGACTTTTTGATTCACTGATTCCCCCCCCCCCTTACTCTTGCTTTTCGTTGGATGTTTAGGCACCAGTTGTTTTTCAGGTGAGGTTTACACTGTAAAACTATTTAGATTAGGTTCAGGAAATGATTGTGATTCAGGTTCAAACATGCCATGAAACATGAACACTGACAAAACATACTCTGTTATTTTAAATGTGGTGGCAACTGGTGTGATTTTGATCAGAACAGAAGTCTGACCAATGAGTTTGAATCGCTGAAAGAACAAATGTAGAGCTCAGGTGATTCAGCATGACTCTTTCTCTGGCTTTTCTTTCAGGAAACTGTTAACAAGGAAATGGTTTGTGAAAATACTGAAGCCTGAGAAACTGGTGTTAATGACTAATCTGTGCATAGGAGACATTTACTTGAATGCTACAACCATAAACACTTCATACTACTCAAAGGCTTGACTAGAGAGTTGGGCTTTTAGACAAATATGTGTTGTAAATTTTGCAGTTGATCAACTGAATTACATTAGTGTTTAGAAAGCAGGAAGCAAAAAGTAAATTGTCATTGTTCCATAACTGACTGATCCACTAAAACTTTATGAGCTCTCTCCAGTCACCAAGACAAACTTTTTTTTTCCGAACAAGACTTTGACAGCGGGTCATAGTTCAAGTCCTCAGAACAGCTGGAAAAATCTTTGCAGGGAAAGTTAATATTTGTTTCTTCTCCCCAAAGGTTCTCTGAGGTGCCATCAAGCCAACCTCCTAAACCCCAGTTGCTCCCATGGAGCTCGTAAACAGCCGGCAGCAGGATCGTGGTCAGACTTGGTCAGCTCCCTGGAGGGACTGCGTGGAAGTTTATGTGTGTGATGCAAAATGGGAAAAGTGGAAGATTTTTTTTATTTCACAATAAAATGATGGAAATAAAACAAAGCAAGATAGTTGAGGGTGAAACCCCTATGGAGATGCTATTAACTGTATGACTATGTGACATTAACACACCCTTAGTAAACTGTGACTATTTCCTTTTTCATAGACCAATGTCATTGTGTTTTCACATAGATTCAAAACATATTGTGCATGTGGTTCAAGTGAATGCATTTTCATTAATATCGATTTAAAGATTGATGTGTTGCATTAAATGAATCATTCATGTGCTCTTTTATTTTTCCTTAGCAACTAGGAGTGTGTTTGCATCCTCCCCATTTTGTTTGTTTTTAGAACCCCACCCTCATTCTTATGGTTTATTCCCTGAGGCTTCTACTATGAAGAGAGCTCAGCATGCTCCGGGTATCTTTCCATTATCTGGACTCAGGATAAGTGTCACTTGAAGGTGGTTGTCAACTCTGTAAGTTAACACACATGAATGGGGAGGTGCCAGCAGTGTCTGACCAGTCACAATTATAGGCAACTGTATCGGCGACGGCACAAAGGAAGATAAAACTATTTCATGGGGGGCGGGGGTGAAGAGGTTAAGCACATAATGCAGACTGAAAGCACCACAGCAGCTGCAGTCAAGGTAGCTACAAGAGTGTGTGTGTTTGTGTGTGTGTAAGAGGAAAAGCACTGCAGTTTAGTATAAAAAGTGGTGTATGAATGTGTGTTTGCTTTAAGCTCTTAAGACTGAAAAAGAGCTAGTGTCATAAGAAAGTTTGTCCTGTTTCAGAACCTGATCTATCATCACCCATTACTCTATCACCCATTATTAAAATTAATTTTTAAATGTACATAAGACAGTTTTATTTTTGCTTCCTTCAGCTGGAGCCTCTGTGGCGCTCTGTGGTTTGAGAGCAAAGAATAAATATATCAATAAATGCAGGCTTACAACAGGCCATGCGCAAATTAGCCTAGCCACAAATAGCCTACAAGTAGGTGCCCTGTTTTGTATTAATGCTTATAGCTCAATGAAAATGCTGTAGAACAGTTTTCAGCAAACAGGACAATAAAAAAAATTATGCTCATTGAGGAAACACAGAGACTTTAGACAATATTTCAAAAACAGACACTGAGGGATCATCCAGGCGTGGTGATACTATTTTCATGGTTAGTGAGTTGATGGTGATTTCATACCTGCTGATCTCTAATCTGGAATATAACCTGTTCAAAAAAGAGGTTCGTTTTGCAGTATGTTACCATGGCAATGTAACCTTATAAGTAGTGCACCACCTTCTTTATACAAAAGCCAAGGTTAATCCTAAAGTTACCTGGATAAGTCGATATCCTTCTTCAGATTACAGACCTCAGGTCTATCCAACCTTGATTATATCAGCAATAGTTGTTTCACAGAAGAATATCCACAAACCAACTATACACAACAACCAGCAACAATAGCAGACAGATCAAGTGAGGAACTAGCTAGTGAACCAAATGTAGATCCCAATGTTCATCTGCTGGTCTGCACAACAGTAAAAAAAAATGTAAATACTGATTATTTATTTATTTATTTTGGCACAGCACGTGAACCAACCACACTAAAAGAGTGTGTATAATATATTTCAGTTGCGTATATGCAACAGGAATGTTGCAATCACACCAGATCTTTATGTCATACTTGGCTGGTTTACAAGACATACCAGCATGTGCCTGTGGAAGCTGCCAGCTGTTCATTCACACAGAAATCGGTGCCAGTGAGATAGTATCAGTAAACTGGGCTTCAAACGTTGTGTGTAAGTGGCCTCCCTGTCTGCTCCAGTTGTACATTGGGATACACTGAATAGATCTGTTAGTTAGGATATATGAAATAAATCCCAACTTTAAAGTTAAAAAATTAATAAATAAATGAATAAATAAACAAGAATGCA